ATAATGGTTTTTCTTTCTTAAATTGGACAGCGCTGGTGTACAACCGAAATTCGAGGGCAACCCGTTTTCGTGTTAACACCAGTTCCGTTCATACGGGTTTTATATGTTTATTTTATTCTATTATTTTTACTTATTCTACTGAGTCATATCCTCTTTACTTCTTTATGAGACAGTAGCCCTTGGCACGGTGGTTGATTATTTCGGACCTTTTGGTCCTTTGCGGTCGATTGACGTTCTTTTGCGCGATGGCGATTCTGCGTCCACTGACGTTCTTTCTGCGCCCACAGGCGTTTCTATCACTGCATATATCTTTTTCCTTCCCTGTACTACTATTGCGAGAAACATACGCTACTATTAGTTATTGAACAGTTTATATCGTCATTTGTACCTAATTATTCAAATTCTTGCCTGCATATGCTAATTGTATTAGTACTAGTTGCAACCCAACACATTTCAATTTGGTAATCCGCGCGTTTTGTTTCATTTACTTTTCGTTTCCTTTTGCTTTTTTCATTTATAACACAATTTCCCGAACACTTACTTTACACATTCAATTTACATTACACACACAGGAGGGCCATAGCCTCCTATTAAAAATAGGATTGGCGCGTGGGGTTATTTACAAGTCAAGAAACTGGCGAGGGGTGTCAATTTTTTGGCGCCTCCAGCGCTAGTCTGATATGCAGGGATGAGCCATCCCCTGGGCCAGCAGCCTGGCCAAACCTCGGAAAGACAAAAAAACGCCCTCTGGCGACACGTGTTTTGGGACCGCGCGTGCGCTTTTTTAGATCTAGGTCAAAAACGCTCAAAACTCGAGCTTATTAACTTCACAAAAGAACAAACTTTTCAGTAGGTAAGCACGGACGGGGTCGGCCATTATGTACTCAACCGATTTCGCGAAATAACAATAAGGGTTGCAAGTGTAACAAAAAATGTAGACATTGCAGTATCAGCCGATATTGACATATTTACATCGTATCGCGGTTACTAAGGGATTACACATCATTACGTATAAAGAAGCAGATGCAAACTTCAGTACAAAAAATGTTAATACTGGTTTAACATGCATACGGTTGTGGATACAATATGTTGGGATGACTATCAAGAAACTCAAAAGAAGAATAGTGGAACACCTTGAACTAATATTTCTACACATAAAGTACACACACCCCTATACAAATCATTTTTTATAAATGTGACAAAGGAGTCACTGTTACCATACTTGACTCTATGAACCTAATGATAAAACAGTTGTATGAGAAGGACACTGTTAGTGGATTAAACTCTTAATGGACACCATATCCGTTTGCGTTTTGAACCGATAACATCAAAGGTTGATGGGAAACAATTAACAAACGTGGACAATCCTCTGTCAGTATTATTAAAGGGAACCATCCCTTTCTTCTCACTTAAAAATTACAAAAGAAAGTAATACAGAGGAACAGTACACAAAACAGAAAGAAAAAAGGATCAATTTTCCAAAGAGCTTTGGAAGAAATCACCAATAGTAATGGAGAGTTTAAAGCCTGTGGAATACTACAGGTCTTATCAAAAGTCTCGGAGAAAAGAAAGTCGACAAGATTCAGTAAATCTACTCCAAGTCAGATAGGACTTTTCTTGAAACAGTTAATAACAACAACAAGAACCTCTATTATTGCCTACTGGCCCATTTATCATTTCTGACACAGTTAATGTCAAAACTTCATAATAAAAAGAGTTCCAACAAGTATTAGATTAGTAGCGCTCAAAAGCCCCCAGGAGGATTTTTAAACGAAATACCTTTCAACAGAATATTTCAACTCACACGTAGTTAACAAAAGTATTACTGCTAAGAATTAGAAGAAAAACTACAATCGAATAGCACAGCCCATTTCAGAATCGTATATAAAGTACAATAAATCCAGATTCAAGTAGAGATATACAATTTATAACAGGGTATTGAAAGCATCTACCAACGAAGAATTAAGAGATATAATCGTAATTAGAACTGTGTGTTATTGAGGACACAGTTACAAGAAATGTAAATCATAATCATGGGACACATGTAACAGGAGATCTTTAACATAATAAAAGAAAGAAGCTGCAAAACATTATGAACAAAGGAACTAGCATATGAATTGGGACAATGGTATAAAACAAAGGCAGGCAAGTCAAAAACAATATATGAAGGACACAGTCGAGCAAAGTTATTTCTTTATTTCAAAACAAGTATAAGGCTAACACGCAAAACAAGTAGACTACGGCAACAATATCTACAACTGTTACCATTTGATAAAATACAAACACTATTAACAAGTGAAAACATTTTAAAAATAAAGGGAACACATACCGTTACGGAGTTAATTAAAACGCTATCAAGGACAGGTTATGTTTTTTTGTCCCCCTAGATAAAGCTTAGCTGAAATAATTATGGAATAATTGCAAAAAATGACTACTTACTTAACTATATGAAGGAAATGGGCATTACATATGATGGATCAACAATCACATATTATCAATATTGAAAACACTAACAATACCTTCATGAACCAGTAGCAATGCGGATAACAGTATTCGGTTTGATACTGAAAACACTATGTTCCTTTTGTGTTAGAAATAACATTGATAACAGTTTGCAGTCATTGCGGATCTGCCTCATCATATATGCTTTACCTTAAACTACATTAAAAATCCATAAAGTTGTAGATATATTACTGGTGCCCATAGAAGTTAGCATTAAGCCTCTAGCACAAGAATTACACATTATTTTCACGCCCATAAAAAATCACTCGTTAATTATGCTCAAAGTAACAAAACAGAAAAGAACCAATTAAAACATTTGCGTCTGATAAGATAACATCAAATATAGTCAAGGATGCTTAACAATATCCACATATGAAAAATTCTTAAAATTTACACAGCAGATTTCACAGACATAGCTTCACTATTTAGAACTACGCATCATTCATTTAGAAATACGCATTATCTTAAAGACTTTGCTTTAGAATGCTGATAAGTCCTAATAGCCATTAACGGCTATCACATATTCTATACAGATGGGAATATAACAACTAATACCTATTGATATATCAAACCTTGTCTGGATTTATGTATTTTACAGATTATTGTAAAAACGTTATGTACATTTGGCAATTTAATATTTAATACAAAACAACGGGTCCACAGGGCAGGAATTTCAGTCCGCTGTAGCTTGATCTTACCTCTGCCAGTCATGGAATACACATTAGTGCAATTAAGCGTGTAAGTTTATTAAAAATAGGTATATCATTCCATTCAGATATATGGATGATTTGTAGTAATACATAACCAAACGAGTGCATAATATGACATTAACAACTAGCAAAGGAAAGTGTACATGAATACCTTGATTAAAACGAAAACACATTAAGTGAAACAGTCTAGTAATTATCTAGATCTAATAATTAAGTATAATAATGACGAGTTTAGACCAAATTGTATAACAAACAGATGATTTTCAGTTTTAAAGTTCATCAAGATTCCCACACAATGCGACGAATATCTCCAATAAATAATAAAGGCTCGTCATATAACCACTGAAAACACTGGCTAGAAGATCTTAACACTTGTTCTATTTTAGACAAATTTACTGATAAAACTAACAGAATTCATAAGAGGCTTACTATAGAAATGGTTCTGACCAGCAGAACTTTACTTATAACTAATGTGGTTAAGGCTTTATTAAAAAAGTTTATTATGTTACAAATTTTCAATTGCCTAAACAATTATTATAAAAACTATTAAGTTAGTTTGGAAGAATACTTGGATCTAAACTTTCTACTTAAATGCTGGAGAACACGTGCTAAGCCCCACCTTGTACACTTTATATATTTTACATGTTTCAGCAAACTTACTATTGTCATTCATTAGCAATATTCATTTCATTTCATTGCTGCTTCCTCCTGGCATTGATAAGTACGTCATATCAAGGTATATTCGTCTTTCCCTGTGTCTTTATTTCGTCATCGCAACTCACTGATGAGCTCCGGGGGACTGGCGAAATAATAAGGTTCTCTGGAGGGAAGGAGCCGAAAACGAACCGTATCTATTAGTTTGTTGTATAATGTTTTTTCTTTCTTAATTGACTGATGCCCAGCAGTATGTGCACTCTCCCAACAACCGTGTTTAACAGGCAGTCGATGCGCGATATGATCGTCAGCGGGCCAGCTAGGTCGGCTATCAGAAAACAGCCGACGCTGCCTGCAAGTTTCCAAGTATGGACCAGTTGAACATGGAACGTCACGGGTGTGGTTCAACTCAATGCCCAGCTGAATTCGGAGTGACGATTGCCTGTAAATGATGTGTATTTTCAACTTTCTCCACACTAAAGATCGATATAAAAAAACATATCTTAAATGGCTCTTGACTAAAAATGAACTTCCCCTCGCTGGCGCCTCCACTGAAACAACTCTGAGAAAAGGCTGCATTAGTTTGGCGATCCTGGGGGAGCGTTTTCGAGGTGCAAACAGATAATCTCAACGATGACTCAGGGCCGGGGAGCACAGATCCTCAATAAATCGTTAATTCCACTCCTCATCGGAAGGAGATGCCATCACCTGTCAGTATGAATAGAAATCAGCATATTGTTAAGGTGGAATCGAGTTTCATCTGTTAACTAGTAAATAAAATGGCAGTGGAACAACTATGGCTGTGGTTCTTCGACTATTGATCATGATCACGCACGGGTGCCAAAGTATTCTATTGGGCGAGCACCCGGCCAGAACGAAGCGCTCTACCGCACATGGTGACATTGTGTCTGGGCTGGGTCATAACAGACCTTTTGCATTGGAGGAATGCATGGCGTCTTCTGGAGTTTCGCTCGCGAGCGCCCAGCGATTGCTAACCACTCTTTTCTCCCCTCTTATTGAGTTGCTAAGACAGATAAGCCTTAATTCAAACAAATGGTCCACAGCGTGAACTGAAACTTCCGACCGGCTCGTCAGTCTTGCTTTCGCTTTATTTTTTTATTGTTTTTCTGTTAGCCCTCGATTTATCTGGAAGAAAAAGAGAAGAAGAAAGAAACGTTCATTAGGACTGCCCAATTGCTAGGAGAGGATCGACATATTTATTCACTGGTTGAAGGTGTGCGAGTGGAAAGCGGAATCAATCCACCAAAAAGCATGCGTAATATTTATGCTCCAGACGTGCCGAACCTTTGCAACCCCCAACGAAGAAGTTGAACTGGGGGCAGGAGACTACGGAGTGACTTCCTCAGACGGCTGAATTGTTGTGCAAGACATTGGTGTTTTGACTCGCTCCCCTTTACCCCCCCCCCCTCGCACAACACAGCGCTGAAGTGCAACGGCTTTGCATCGGCAGAACATTGACATGCATTAGTCATTGTCTGCTGTGACTCTCGGAGAGTACACAGATCGCAATTTCGTCCCTTTCTGGTATTCCAGTGATAATCGGCATTTGATAGCAGTTCCACTTTCTCACCGTCGTCTTCTCTCTGTCCTCTCCCTCTCTCAAAACAGTGAGTGTGCTGGTGTTTACTATCAAACAGCATAGAAGCACCCCTAGATTTCCTTCAAGGCTTGGGCTGCATGATAGTCCGAGGTGAATCCAGAGGTGATTCCATTTGGCAAAAAGGAGACACTTGAGTGATCGTTTATTTTCGGAGTCAGGCTTCTATGCGTTCTTCAAGAACAAAAATCACACTCCGCGCTCCAGAGAGTTTTTTCCGAGGTCGACGACAATTCAGATAAGAGCTGTTCTCCCCTCACAGATGCGCTGGCAGGTTACGACTTTCATATTATGCACCTTTGGATTTCTCAAAGAATTCCGCCCAACTGAGCCATATCTGTACCAGTACGAGCATGAAACGCTGAATATATCGGAGAAGGTGCTGAACGCGGAGGTAGTTTGTTTGCTTTGTGCTCCTAATTTCTCACTGATCTTACCGCTTATTGTGAACTAAATTACAGGTTTATCCGATATGGACCTACAGTTATCTGATAGCTTTAATCCCCGTCTTTCTGCTCACGGATTTGGTGCTGTACAAGCCGATGATTGTGTTCGAATCGCTTTCCTATATTGTCGTCTGGTCACTTCTCGTGTTTTGCGGCTCCGTTTTTGCACAACAGGTAACGCCTCGAGCTTGGCAGACCTTTTTTTCACGGGTTTCACTGTTCCCTATCCGCTTCCTCTTCCTGTTGCAACTGTATGAACAAGAAATACCTCACTGCAGCTCTCCTTACTCCTTCCAACCATAAAAAGCGTCGATAATGCCACCTCTACCGCTTCTTTCTTCAGATGGTTGAACTTTTCTATGGATGGGCCACGGCCACTGAAATAGCCTATTTTGCCTACATCTATGTAAAAGTGTCAAAGGAACACTTCAGAAAGTGAGTTGTTGCTTTGTTCTGAGAGGGAATCGGTGAACCTCACGAGAGCTTCTCGTCCAATCGTCCCCCGACTTAGAACATGCCCCTTTCATGCTTTGCTCGAGTAGGGTTGTCACTTCGATGATATCATTCCGAATGCGAGCTATGATGCTCAAGGTTTGGACAAGTTTCGTATTTTCAGGGTAACATCGCTGACTCGTGGTGCCCTTCTTTTGGGCTCCTTCTTGTCCTACGCGATCTCTCAGCTCATTATCCTCCTGAGATGGGGAACGTACGAAACGCTGAACATTATATCGTTGGTGTTTCTTTGCTTTTCTCTATTCTTCGCCGCTGCACTCCCTGCTGTTCCTTGGAAGTGCGCGTATGAGAAGAAGAGACTGCTAAAAGGTAGGTTCCATTCTAAATTGTATAAGTGCTTTCTGGTGGTGGTTTCGAATGCACTCGAGATCGCCTTGCTTCCGCCTGTATTACTCTGTTTTGGCGTTAGGGTTCAGACGCTGGAAAACTTTCTGATGACGAGACTACCTACAGGAACTACGTAGTATTTCACTTCAAAACCCTCACCGAGGACCTCAAGACGATCTATGGAAACTCCTTCATGCTGAAGTGGTCACTCTGGTGGGCATTGGCAAGCTGTGGTTACTTTCAGGTGAGAGGCAATTTTTTATTGAATATTGTTTAAAGTGAACTTTGATAAAGCTTGCTATAACCTAGAATTTGATTCACTATTCAGATTGGCAACTATATTCAAACTCTGTGGGGAACGCTGATCACCCCGAATACGTCGGACGTCTACAACGGACTAACAGAGGCCTTGTGTCCATTGATATGTAAGCAAGTTCCCGAGAACTCACGATCAGATCATTACCATTGGAACAAACTTAACAACTAGGAGAGAGTGTCTGTCGGTTGGCGTCGAAATGTCATGGGTTCACTTGCAGCACTGCCGGCGGTGCTTCTTGTGCAGCACCTGAAGGTGGATTGGTCACGGTGGGGAGAGCTGTGTCTGGCGGTCTGCTCACTGCTGAATGGACTGCTGGTTCTGCTGCTTTCGCAGACGAACAGCCTCTTCGTGATGTACGCCGGATACATTGCGTACAGGCTCATCTTTGAATCAATGATTACAATCACACAGTAAGTTCTCCCTTTGTTGTACCTCTCGAGAGTTCTTGGGCAAAACCGAATACAAAGAATGTTTCCTACTTGGTTCGGAAGGGTTCAGCTCTGCCTTCGTTCAGGTCCAACTTGGCCGAGGGTCTTGAGACGGCCGCGTACGGTCTGATTTTCGGGATGAATACCTTCATCGCTCTGGTTCTGCAATCTCTCCTTACGCTGATCGTCGTTTCTTCTTTTGGCTTTGCGCTAACAATACGACCACAGGTCTGTTCCTCCGTACTACGGTGAACCCGCTTCAATTCCACCCACTCCTGCTTTCATTCTGCTAATCGTTTTATCCAGCATGATGTATTATACCCGTCTGTATAAATCAAATTTGTGTCATTTCAGTTCACGGTTTACTCCGGTTATCATTTCGTGGTCGCTTCACTATACATAGTGCCACTACTGCTTCGGTTTTACCGTTTCCTGAGGACGAGCTTCCGTCAAAAAGCTGAAAATGTAGCCTAGTCCGTGAATTGTTATGCCCCAGTACTCGTCATTGTTGAATGACCTTGATAAATTTGTAAAGTTGAAAGTAATTTTGTCAGTGCACAAAGTGGTATGTCCACTTCGCAAAAGCCAAGTTCTGTGAGAATCTGAAATGTGTTGTAACGTAGCTGCTCCGTCCTCATAGCTCGTATTTGTGGATACGCGCGTTCATTCAAGGAGCCTAGTGCAAACAAACAATGCCATAGTAATCCCCCAATCAATGTTACATATATCAGTATAAGATAAACAGACGCCGAACGGGCCGTTGCTTATGGTCAGCTTTCAAGACAAGTAGATTGTTCCAAGTTTTTAGCCTAAAAACTGTCCTTCTGATTCTTCGGCACAGTAATCCTTCGGAATGACTCAGTCGCAGTCCATCCAATCCAATAATTTATGCATAACAAACGATTTTGAGAACCTACCCAAGGTCCCTTTATATGAACGATATGAACATTGAGCGGAAAAATTCGAATTTTATGGAATTTTCGTGGTTTGCTCGACACCAGTAGGCGATCCCGAATCATGCTAAATTTCTGTGGATAATGGAGAGCTCAAAAGCTCGGATACCCATCGTTGGATGACGGCGCAGAAACGCGGGCACTTCTGGTTGGTCGTGTATCCCTTCAACGACACAAATGCGGTGTGGTTTTTAGGTGGAACACCCTCCATTCAAGATCCAAAAATACTTGGTTACTTTTTTCGGTTAGTGTCTTCGTCGCCTCAACGAATTTCTCCAGTATTAATAACAATTCATGCCTATACGGCAAGGAAATAAAAGTAACAAAGAGCATCCCTCGAATATGGACAATGAACTTCGCTAACGGACGCCGCGGATGCGGAACCGCGCCATTACTTGTACTCAGATGCTTTTTGAAGGCTGCATTCATTTGATTGCTCGTTGCTACGTTCTGCTCTCCCTATCAATGCGAGCTCCATGACTACTGATTATCATCAGCCCGTTCAATTCTTTGCTAACACTTGTAATAAGCTCACCATTTGCCACTGCCCAGAATCCCCCCCTCTCCCCTCGACAAGGTTTATTCTTTATGGATAGTGCTCTGACTTTCCTTTCTTCAATCCGCTACCTATGTGTAGTCCAAAATCATTGTCGCGTACAGTGGCATTGCAATGTCGCATACCACTGCTTTTGTTAGGTTCTGTGGTGGCTGGTTGGATAAATATTATGGCCCAGGAGACGAGTGCACGCATGTACAAGATCGGCTCGGAACATTTTATGGCCCTCGAGTGGTAGTTCAATTTTGGCGGCAAAGCTTGCGCATGAGTGTCTTTGTCTTTCATCCACGTGAAGGATACGCAGCAGAAGCAAAAGGTCAAACGTCACAATTACCGCTAACAGATGATGACCGGTTTCACGAATTAGTCCTTTTCTGTGTTTCATTGTCGGGCACGTGATCGGTAACTCGCCTTGATTAGGGGTAAATCAGCGGTCGAGGAAGTAGTGGATGCATGTCACCACGGCTGCTGCCAAAGCACCTCCTATGTCTAACCGCCCGCTTCCCTTCGTACTTAACAGGAAGTGATTCAGCGAAGAACGAAGGTCGAAGAAGTGGAGAAATCCCGAAGTGGGGAGAGCGGTGCTATCTCTTGAGGTGCGGAACAGACCGCAAATCGGCATCCGAACCAGATTTGACATCTGAGATCTAAGCATGGCTCAGCAGTGGCGAATTCGGCGATCTCCGCCAACCGATCGTCTGACGCACACGCCGTAGTACAATAGGCTGGCGAGCTGAATTAGATAGTGAGAGAGCGTAAGGGTTGAAGCAGGGTAATAGCGATGCAAGAGTTTCCATCAATGCTTCAAATCCCACGACGAAAGTGAAGGGGTCCCATTTCTCTCGCCAGTTCTGGCCGTTTTTCCGTGGTTTTCGCTTATCTCTGATACTACCACCGTCTCTCCCGTCAATTTGGCAATGTTGGCTTTTCCATCGTAAATTCGTCTTTCAACGGACCTTATTCCACATGGAAAAATGCTCGCTCTCAATTACCCAAAAAAGATACCTTAGGAATCTTCCACGGCTGAGAGTGGCTCATCTTTGTCTGCGTGTGTAGGAACTAGTATTAATCGATACTAACGCTTCCTGTTCCGGTTCTTTTGCTATGTATCATGAGGCCGTCGAAACCTAAGGTATACGTTTTTCTGTGGTAAATGGAGGCCGGGAGCTTTTTGCCGTGAAGATTCCTTTAATACTTCGTTGAGAAATGCCGACTTTTGTTAGGGAGACTATTGTAAAAGGCAATGGTAATAGCGAAGGCCCTGGGCAAGTGAAGACTGTCCTTAGACTTGTAGGAGTTAACGACAGATTTCTTACTACACGATTCTGCAACCTTGAAGTGGAGTCGATGCATGGCGTATGCCTGAGACGGGAAATCGGACGATGCCGATTGGCTCCTTTTCTTATCGTGCTGCACTGAAATGGATATTCTCTAGACACTATGCTCGAAGTTGCCAACGAAATTAACATATGCAATCGGTGAAGCAAGAAATTTTTTGTGAAAGAGTACAAAATCGTCGTCCGATAGATCCTCGAACCGTAGATACTTCCTAGGAAACGAAAAAGTTGGGACGAGCCTTCAATCCAGCGTGTTAGAAAGCGCGCAGGTTCTTCCGCTTGCTCAACGAGCTTCTTTTTTTTAAGCTTTCAGGAGATTCCAGAAAGTATATTGCCTTTTTAAGTGGCAGAAGGCGCGATGAATAATTTCGCCGTCCCCGACGCTGACAGTCCGATCGCAGTTCAAGAGACTGCTGATCTCTTCTCTGCCGAGTGGAAGTGCATTCCGACAATTTTCAACACTGGTCGATCACGAGGAAAGCTAGCTCGATATGCTAAGCGCGCACCACATGCTGTTCGAAACGTTTAGAAATGAGGGGAATTGTAAGCCGTTAGACGAGGGTGTGGAATTTCGATGGTTTGAAGCGGGTTTCACAGCCAAATTCTGACCCGGGTGATAAACCTGCTGCAATGCTGTAACTGTGCGGTAACTGCATACTTTGGATGTCATGTAATGTACTAACATGTTTATTCATATAAGAAATCGAAAAGTTAGGGGTCGTATTTCAAAAACCCGAGTGTAGGGGAGGGGTGAGTCGTACGGCGACCGCGTGAATAGGACTAGCACGCGCCTCCTCGACACTATTTCACACCCTGTCCTTGTTGGCATAAACTTTTCTACGTGATCGTTGCGGTAAAACATTTCGCCAACGCCACTTCTTTTAGGGATGCGCTTGCCAATATATAGCAGAGGTGGCCCGTAGTAAAATCGTAATACTCGTAACATCGTAGCAGAATTCCCTAGCAAGTACTCACTCTTGAACGCAGTTTGTGTTTGCCATGCTATCCTAGCTGACGGATGCGTGTCTCAGCCCACCGCTGTTGAATAGGTGGTAGGGCGGAGGGGTCAAAAGAAGCACCAACTGCGACATGCGTGTCAATCCTTACTGTCATGTTTGCGGCTAGAGCAACGCAAAATTTGCAGACTCCCTCAGCCTTCATGTGCCACATCCGCCACCCTGGCTAAAAAACTAAAGTCATAGCCGCGAGCACGGCCCAGATTTCATAACTGCCTCACGTACTGCTGGCTGGTCCCAAACTAAATAAGTGCTTAAGTAACTCAAGGTTTCCGCTACTTGCACCTGGGCCGAAATGCTGCAGCACTAATTATAAATGATCCTACTATAACATATATACGCTAAGCGGATTGTGTGCGTGTGCTGTTCTGCACCGGAAATTCATTAGCTTCACCACCTTGACGCCAGAGGTGCTCAACTTACATAGATATATAGGGGACCAAAAAGAAGTGAACACTGATGCATCGGTGCGGGAAGTGCATAAACTACTGAAGGAGCTGATAACGGATCGTCGAAATGTTGAATGTCGTCAAGTTTCGTTAGCACCGTCCGTTCGACGGTGAGGAGATGTTTGCACTCATAATATGATATGTGGGAGGCTGCATCGTACTAAGAAGTTGCAGTGAACCAACAGTGGTACAATAAAAAAGAATGATAAGGAGAGTCAACGTGTGATACCAACGTCACTTCCGTCGCGCCTCCGCAGTTACATGGGAACCGCACTGCCCTCACTGTGGTATATGGGTATGGGATGGAACACTTGATAAAGTGGTGATCAGAGGTGATAACAAGCGATAAACGGTTGACAAGGAAGTTAGAATTTTGAGTACGCTGCTAATTCGTTGTACCCTTCGCGGTAACAGTAAGTAATACTCAATCCCCAGCTCTTGTTTGCCTGGAGAGTGGTGGACGGGAGCATTGATTGCGAAACAAGTAGGAACTGATACAAAGTGACAAGGATATGATACAGAGTGTCTGAAATGCAGGTCCTCTCCAGCTTCGTTGCAATTGTCCAACTTGGCAAGCGATCAGCAAGGATTGAATGTAGGTGAACAGAAAGTGTGTAGCGCAACGTAACTGATAAATAAGTAGCGACAGTTGAGCGTGCACTCCACTGAACTAAACTCAGAATTCCTAGCCGTCTGAATATGTCGACATTCCTACCCTTTCATACTAAAGAAGCAGTAAAAATTTGAACTGCTCAACTAATGTGAACTTTGGACCAACGAGAATTCCACTAATATTTCCAACATTCCATCACAACTGGGTGCTAAACTGTTATATGGGGTGAGCACCCTGGCGCGCAGCGCTCTATTCATCTGTTCTGCAAGCTCAGTCCGGGGGGCAGTACTCTTCGTCGCCACGTGCCTAGTTTTGAAAGACGCGGCCATGGCTGGACTAAAGCCGTTGAGAAAGCAGACGCCAGAAACAGAGGCGCCGTGCGCCGCGTGTCCTCCCAACTAGTAGCATCCAGCTCGTTTAGATCTTTGATTGTTATATTCCACTTACAAATACGACTCTTCAAATTTTGAAAAGTCTATAAACCGCGCTTCGCGAGCTCAGATATCAATGCTAAATGTTTACGAAAATGATGATAGTTCGCATTCCATTCCGCATGCTACTGCCGCAACATTACGGCGACAATCTTCAGCCGAAACTGGACAACCCTTGAACGATCACTGTGGCACATCTCCGAAGCATCTACTGTTAGTTCATTCAATCACGTAACCTAATATTCTACAAGTTGTTCAGTTTCACTAAAGCCCACCACTTGATGTGCGCGGTTGCGTGCGGAGCTAAACTGATATATCATAAGTACAAGTAATGGTGAAGGAGTGAACAATATCGAAAGGGCTCGAGTAGCTTCGGGTGATGATATAGGGTAGCCATACAAATGAACCTTGATTGGTGCACATTTATTCATTGTTATTACGCCGTTTCTTTGAAGGTACAAAACACACATCACACGTTACTTGCAGCCCTTGATTCCGTATTCAGAAACATCTTTCTCGAAGTAGTGAAGGTGGTCCTTTGTAGAGGTGTCCAGGAGATTGCCATCCGAACAGAATGTGCTTTCTCCCATGTCGTAGCAGACATAGTAGTGAGCACCGGTTCCCATACCTTTGTTGTAGAAAGCCTGAAACAGTACCATCTATATGTGGGCAAAATGCATATTTTACACACTCGTGTAGGAAACGTGAGCTCATTATGAACACCTTAGAAATAGATTAACTGATTAGGCTAACAGAAGAGTGTAAGGGACAACACTGTCGTTGGCCTAGCGAAGGGCTCAGTTCCAGGAGATTCACAACATGGCGAAGACAGAGTATCTCAAAGAAGGATGTTACGATAAATGGGACGTGAGAGAAGCGTAAAGCACACCCAAAAGGAGTGCGGACCTTCAAGGGAGCGAGTAGAGATGTGTATCGCGAACCCCAGCCCTAGCCTAGCCATGCGTCAATTGGGCGGTCGCGTCGATGACTGACCTACCGGCAAATCCCGCTCAGGCGGAAATCATTTGAGAAAGTAAGCCTGGCTTCGCAGGTTTTGGGCCCTTACCTTTCGTGGTTCTCTTGACCTGTGCACTTTCTATCACTTCTACTTTCATGTCCAACAGGCAACGATTTTTTGGTAAGATCTGCCTTCGAAATCAGAACCAAAACTTTTTTGTTCTTTTTTGTTTTGATTAATTCGCATCCGAGAATTCAATTTCAGTAGCTCACTGTCACCTAGTCCTTCCTTGATTCTTCCTTCTTCGTAAATGCCTTACTAGGAATATCAACAGGAAGAAAGGCCGTTCACAGAGATGTGGCAAAAGCTCATACACGAAGATAGTTTAGAAAGCTTGCACTGGAGGTGGTGGTGTAGTTTTGGAAGTAGTATCTGTAGATAAACGAAGTCCTCTCAAAATTTTTCTTTAGAAGTCGCACTTTTTTGCTTTCAAAATTGAGTTATTCTCCACATTCACGTGTTTTCTTGGCTTCGTATTGAGCACTGAGGAGGGCTTCTTGTCACCTACGCTCAGCCCCTTTCGGCTTCAACCAAGCTTTGGTGTTGTGGTTTAAAAAACGCTTTATGAAGATGCAAACTTCCTGAACCTCGGTTTTGTGATGGTAGTACCCTTCCAAATTCTCCAGTGGCAGATGCGGTACTTCGTCGTGAGCATGTGTAATGCGGAACGCGTAGGGAACCTGAAATTAAAGACTAGGAACAGTAAGTTTGTGGACGACGGAAGTGTGAGGGGTTGTCGAAGAGGAATGGTTGTGGGTGGCTCGAAAAGCCCCAGACTCGGCCCTTACGCTAGTGACAAGATGGCAGATTACGTGTGTCATGTGACAAGATTCTACCAACTGGGCGTTCTAAATACCTCTTTTTCGACCGCTGCAGCGTAATCCTTATCTCCAGTGCGAGGCTGCCCGAATGTCACCAACTTGATCTGAAATATTTCCATAGAGTGAGTTAGCTTTTGTTTTATTCATGGAGTGAAACCTTGTTTGCAGGGAAGAGCTTGTTGTGGGCAATGTAGGAGGCTGCCAGCGAAGCCATAGCTCCTCCAAGAGAATGACCGGTGATCTGACAAAGACATGATTTGCGTTCATTTTCTAGTAAGGTCCCCTTAGTAGTGCTCGCTACCCAAAGCTCGTATCCACTATGCTGACTCTGCAGGGTGGCCAGATCGTCTTTCAGGCCGTACTTCCAGATTCTCATGAATCCATCGTTGAAGTATTTCGATACCACGCCTCCAGCAACCCACGGTGTCTGGAAACAACTCGTGAAAAGCTGTCAATTCTTTGTCTGATTACACTTCGCTGCACTCACATGGTTTTTCTGCATTGTTTCATCGCTTTCCACAATAAGCTGAGTGTTCCTGTCTGTGCCCCTTAAAAGGTGATCTTTCAGTGCTCAGGTCCATCCCTGCGAGCTCCTCACAGACACGGTTAAAATAAACTTCTGAGGTCGCTATCTCAAGATATGGGAGAATGCGGTGACAATGCACTCAAAATCGCGTAAGGCACTCCTTTTTGGTTAAAACAGGACTAAGCCTTAGGCAAGGGACGAGAGACTCCAGAATACGTGAGCAGTTTTCGTTTCCTTCAGAGTTCCTGCCCCCTCTTGGCCTCATTTCTAGAGCATGCACCCCTATCTTGCGATAGCACCCTTCTGAGCTCGGAAAAGCTCGTATTTCACAGTATTGAAGAGCCAACGCAAATGATACCTGAACGACAAAATGATCGCTTTGTCATCGTTGTTCACAGCGCTGAATGCTGTGCATTTATCAATGATTGTGATATCACAGATGACCGAAGTGAGGCGTTTCAGCTTCAAAAAAAAAACATTAGTTCGAATTAGTAGAAAGAAATAGTCAAAAAATGCACAGCACCTGCAGACTCTTCCCAAGGTTGGACAGGCAAAGCTGAGGGTTGTCGGAGTAAGCGGCGGCCGCAAGGGGCAGCATTTTCCTCGAGCAAAATCTTCATCGTACGTTATTTGGGTGGCCAACTCCTGCACCACATCGAAGGCATAGCCATCCCCAAGCGAAGGAACACACCACCACCACACGACCACAGCACCAAATCCTGCCCAATTGAAGAAAGGAGCGGAGAAGAAGTCGGTAAGTGAGCAGGCTAGAGAAAAAAGCAAAGATTGAGGGCGGTGTCGTTCCAAAATCTGACCCTGCCTACTCGGCTACAATCTCAAGAATGAAAGTTAGAAGTGCAGTCTCTTCTAAGTGCTTCTACGTATTGCTACTATATCTAACCAGATGCAAATAGGTGCTTCACAAGGCACAGGAATGCCGGCATATGGTGGTCTTTTCACGCTTTACAGCGCTACACTGGCAATAAGTCTCCAAAAGCGATGGCAAGAACACATTTAATTAGTGTCTCATAAATAGTGTCGCTTTTTTCCAACCAAAAATTTTCATCTAAATCCCATGGCCTATACAATCCGATCATAACATTTCGAAAGAGATTGTTGCCTCGTTGACAAGGGTGGGTGGTCATCTTCTATACTATGTTCCATGGTTTCAATTTTTCGCCGGCGAATATGGGAGGGATCCCGCCGACAAAATTGACCAACCGATCAAGCTAGCTCTAACTTATTTTCCCAGCGAGGAATCAAGTCATGGTGGCCCTGTCTTACTCATGACCTCTCTGAACATTCCACCCTCAGTTTGCCTCGAAAAGATTTGCCTTTGTTTTGTTTCGAATTGATCGACGAAGCCAGGGCCAAGTTTCAATTAGAAATCCTTCTCTGGAACGCTATGTTTATATCAAACTGGTGGTATTTTTGTGAGCACTGCTTCGGCCTCTATTCGCTCATTTGTTTTGTTTTTAATGTTTCGTTAGACAATTAGCTCGAAATTTAAAGACGTGTTGAGGTAGTAAGCTGCTTTATCCACGGACAGTGAACGCATTTGGTTTGAAAAAAATTTTCCTGAGAATGTAAACGAACCAGGCGTTACATTCCTAACATAGCTCATGACCTTGCTCTGAAATTCCACCAGTTTTTCAATGTCTCGGCTATAAAAATTTCGACCTCAATCTCAGGTAATGGGCTTGACCGTCGATTTTGGTTGCAAAGCCAGTGTCTGGAATGGAACGATCGCGACCTGTTCGGAAACCTAATGTGTTGATGTTCAGAAGAGGTCATGTGTAAGTGGAGGTTTTCATAATTGATTTCTTTCCCAAGGGAAGATAAAGTTAAAGAAGTGTGTCGGTTTGGTCAATTTTTTCGGTTGGACTTCCCATTTCGCAGAGGCCTAATTCTGAAAACCCAACCGGGAGAACAGAGGTGGAAGTGAAGTATAGCATCTTGTAGAGCAGACGATTCTCTTCCGAACGGTTTATGAAAGATGCTAAAAAGAATGAGACATAGCCATGAAATTTTTAGGGTGAAAAAAAAACCGACACTACTTATGAGACAACTAATACTTGTAATGTGGTATTCATGGAGGCGAGCGCCGAGCACAAATTACCGAGCAAGTTAGTTCAAAAGCGCTATTGAGACCTCTTCTATCTCAGGCTGGTCCTATTTCTGTCGACCTGCGGCTGTCGTTTACAAAGCGGCGGCAAATAAAATAAGAAGTAATCACCATTAGCCAGGTGGTTTGACAAAAATTACATGAGGCAGCTGAAAACGCCAGTGAAGGTGACAGTGCGGCGAAATTGGTTTTCCAGGTTACGATTTGTTGATTTCTTCCTACGGCAACAGATGCGAGACTGATAACCGATAAGGATACGGAAGTCTGTCGTTGATGAAAATTTACAGTCAAGAAGTGTGCCACAAGAGCGAATCAATTGGAGTTCGGAAGTTCAATTCCCTATTCCTCAGGGTTTGCTCGGAGAGTGGGGACACTGGCACAAATAAAAACAAAACGCGGAGGAGGCGTAATCGAGGAAAATCTGATATAAACCGTCCGAAAGCCCAAAATCATTGTCGTTTGTTCGCAGATGCGATTTGATCCTGGCGAACATTCGCCGTGCAGTGTGGACACTACGAACACATTCAGCGCTGCTCAATAACGACCATGGTCATACGTTTGAGGCAGCGGCTGAAGTGTGTTGCGGTTACGACGAAACACCTCAACGGCATGGTAATTTTGCTTTAGGAGGTAGTCCCGACCATTCCAGGACGACATGCAAACCGTACCACTTCTTCGCTCGTATAATCACTGCCTCTAGGCCAATAGAACTTGCAACGAGCTTGAATATGCGTCAAATACTCGACACCGCAGGTTGTTTCGGACATCGTCCATGAGGGAAGAACTCTGATCTGTACATAGTTCTGCAAGTTGTGCCTGAAATAAACTGGAAGTTCGCCGACTGACGCGCCTGCCACTACAGAAATGATCATCAAAATCGAGGATGGAAAATGCCGAGCAACATCTGAGTGCGGTAGAAAGGGTATTCCGCGAGTTGGTTATTGCTTTCGGCACGACTAGGAATCACTAAGACTCATCACCAAAGGGAAACGGAATGAACGGGCAGGCAGCATTAGCACAGTTCACGATTCTGCTGCGTACGCATAAGTCATGCTTCCCGTGACGAAAAGGCCTGCTCACGGAACTTCGGACCGAGATAAGTGGGCGTCGATCGGCGTATTAGCGCGATGCTCTCGTCTTTTCGGGCTTCCAACTGACTATTGAACGGCTTGACACTGAATAGGCCGCCTTTTTAGTTGGGGGCACATATTGCGAGCTATAATATGAAAAGATTATGAACACAAACAAAATGATATACCTGTGAGATTGCTTATGTTCCGCAATCTCTGTCGATCTAATGTGTATTAAACAATGTGAGACTTCAAAATTTTATTGCCAAAAACACTCGGCACATAAATTTTGAAGTCTCACATTGTTTAATACGAAATATCTAAGCAACAGCAAAATGAGTACAAATCAAATACAAAATGTTAATTGATTTATGGGATAGTCGGACATGCGAGATATTGAACAGTCTCGACAGGTCTCTTTTTTGAGATTCATCTGCGTTCTACTTCCGTGTATATTCTTACTCAGAATTTTATATGCGATTTTGGGATGCAAGAGTGACTTGGCAGCGGGATCAGCACTTGTCGCTACACCACTCCCAACCTTCGGCCAAACACAGCTATCGATGAATGAAATGTTGCTATATTTTGAACATATGTTCGGCCGCTTCACCTACAGCTGATCGATCCACCCACCGTGCGAACCCATTTCAGCTGTCGTATCATTCCAGTCAGGTTCTTTCGACCCGTTATGGCGTTCTCCGGCGCCATTACCCCTTAACAGCGATCAACCGTCGTTGGACAAAAGTCCAACAGGACGTCGTATTTGGCCGCGCTAGGAGGGGTGGGTCGGATCGCAGGAGTCAACGTTGCAGCGAAGGCTGTTTTAGCGTGTAGAGACGAGAGGTGGTTTTCGCTATAAGGAACCTAATGCGTGTTGTTGCGGTGAAGCTCGCAACTGTTAGCTCTTGCTGGCCTCGAACGATTAGAAATCAGACCGTTATTTATCGCAACCAGTAGGGAGAGTAGGCTCTGAAGTTTCTTCTTCAATATTGAAGCACAAACGAGTGCATGCGCACATCGCAGCAGAAGAGAGCTACTGGAACCGAAAGTATCATATTTGACTGGCGCACGGTATACAAATGTAATTTAGGGTGACCAATGACCTCTATGCCCCTGTTAATAAAAGAGTGACCTCTTTGGCAGATGACTGCTAAAAGGGCTACGAGAAAGTTGGGACAAAACATTTGCTTCGTTGGCAACTTCTTGAAGCGGTGTAGGCATCTGTAAGGGACACAGAAGCCTCGTGCGCGAGTCACGTATCATAATTCCCGATAAATCGAGTTGGTGGGAAGAGAGTTGTCAGTGTTTAAGTGTGAAAACCCGTGTTTTCAGTTAGAGAGCCGCGAAGATTTCTATGAAAAAAAAAACCGGTCCAACCTTGGGGCGATTTTTTGACTCCGTCACTTTGGAAGAGAAGGAGGTAATCCTTTGGAAAGCTCTAAACTTCTATTCAACACAGGCGAAAAGAACGGCGGAAAAGTGCAATATAGAAGAAAGTTTGTAACAATTTAAATGCCAAAAAACCAAGCGCTCTGCAAAAAAAGCCGGTCCGCAATTTTCTAAAAAACGAGATCCAACGACGCGTTTTTATTGACTCCTCTAACTTTTGAAAGAGAGTTCAAGTATTCCTTAGAAGCCCTCTTAACCTTTTTCTCAACTCAGGGGGACAAGAGTTGCTGAAGGCTGGAATTTAATAAAGTTATGCCATTGGAAGCCAAAACAATCCTGTTCTTGCGAAAAAAAAACGGATCAACGGCGGCAATTTTTTTCAATGAAAGACGTTTTGGCGAAGCTGTGAGCACTTATTAGAAAGGAAATCAATCTGACCTGATTCAATTTTCTTACGCTCCTACATAATTACTTCTTTGCAGGAAAGTTACAAAGCCTTTCAAAGTACGAAGTTGCGCATTCTTGCTGAATGCTGTATTCTCTACGCCAGGAACTGACGTATTGTTTGAAGATGAGATAATCGGTGGTTACCTTCTGAAACAAGCGGTTGTGCGTGGTAGATGACAAATTCTACTTCAGCACTATAAAGAAACATTTGATTATTGTAACAAATTTCGCGGGCATTCGGAACCCAATATTCTGTTTCTCGCTGCCGCGCATGCCGCGAAGGGAAGATGCGCGCCCCAATTCGAACTCAACGCTACCGTACTCCATCGGACACTCTGTTGTATACTCTCATGCTCTGCGATGCGCCAAGCACTTGTTTGATACGCGCTCTGCAGATCGATAATAGAATTTTTGTGATTCCGAACGCCCATTACATAAAAGCCAGACAAGCGCATTCGAGACTAAAGGCGCGGTTTTTGTTTTAGGCAACTGATGGCAGTTCGTTCTGCGATGTTACGCACTAGTAAATTACCGGATATCGGGAAACTAGAGCTAGTCTGCTAACTGTGTTTGAATTCAAGTCAAGTATCTTGAGATTTTTTGTAGATTGCACTTACTTTCCCCGTGTTAGCTTTTTCCTTAGCAGTGTACAGTACATAATGTGTGCGGGGGGTCGTATGGAGACTCTCCAAGAAGGGGGGGGGTCGTAAAAATTTTGAAATTGGTCCAACGTGACGGTTGGCCCTGCCCCTTACCTCGCTGTCTGCTTCTCAGATTTCGCCACAGCGTAGAACAAAGGCGCCACCATCTTCGGTGTTTTTGACGCTTTCTCCCTTTTCTCTCATCTATCCGTCCACGTCACATCATTACCTTCATTTGAGCGACACTACCTCATCCCTTTGACCACGTGGTGCGCTTATTGAGACTAGGGTCCACTAATGACGAAGGATGTGTTCCTCCTTTACCGGACATCTACTCAAAGCAGCAGCGTGAGTCAAATGTGAAAATTAATATCATTTATTTACATTTACATCTCAGCATTTATACATACGAATCAATAACCGTAAAATGGGTATGGCGGTGTTGGAATAACGTTTTGGACGGAGCAGTGGACCGTGAGTGGTCGCTTCTTGCGGTCGGAGTGCTTTGGCGAATCGCGGGAGCGCAACGACATCTTCGCGAGTTTGTCGCTGATCCGCCAAGTGCTGTCGCGAGAAAAAGAGGAGCCGTGGAAAGGCTGAGAGATCGGCGTTCTAAACGAATTCATGCGTCAAAAGTCTGCCAAAGAGCCAGGAAATCCAAAACGTCACTAACCTTACGTCCGGTTGGTTCTCCATTCCATAACAGGTGAGGTTGCTTGGAACCCATAATGACTGCGTCATCTGCGGGCTGCAGTAACTTGGAGGGATCCCGGGCGGTATCCCGTAGTCGCGGTAATCGTGATGCGGCCTACGGCCATAGGGACTGTAGTAAGCGGGAGGTACCGGAGACAGCGCACAAGGGGGAGGCAGTAGGTAGGGCAGGTTATGATATGGACTGGGCGCTGCTGGTCTCACAGTTAGTATGAGATTGGCCGAGTTCGCTATCATGATGTCCGTCACTTGATCCAGTGTCTTCTCTGATACCTGAATATGAACATATTGTAGCAGCAGGGGAAGTAAACCCCGACGGCGGAAGATACCTCAATGCCATTGACTTCGACGATCTCGTCGTTCACACTGAGCAGGTTGGTGGACGCTGCGAGACCGTTCGGTAGGAGACGTGAGATGAAGATGCCGGGAGCCATCGTGAATCCCCACGGTGTGAGACGTTCCGAATAGCCTGCAAAAAATAAAATTATTCAAATATTCTTCTCTACCACGTTGTAATTCGTGTATACTATAATTGTAGGATGAGGCCATAATGAACGAACTCTTCGGAGAAAACTCCTTCTCCGAACTCATCAAAAAACACTAGAAAGAAAGAGAGAAGCTCTACTGTCTAACCATCTCTGATGTAAAAGCCGAGCGGTTTATTGTTGTAGAATTTGCACAGACGAACCCGTCGCAACTCTCGCGGTAGGATGTCAACGTCCAGAATTGACGACACCTAGAAAAACCAAACTGTAGACAGCAATTCCACAGAGCTCCAAAAGAGACAATGAATAGTCTCTCGCAGGAACATGACACCCTTAGTAGAGCAAGGGTTATATTGGACCCCAATCTTGTTTTAGTTCTCTCCAAAAGCATCTAACTATCTCCTTTCTACTATATGTATGAACCTTCATTGAATTAGGTGAGAGCAGGGTCGAACGTTCGTTGAGGAATCCTCGACACGTCACAGGGGGGGGAGGGAGTCGTATTGGCCCGCTGGGAGGAAGAGATCGGGCCAGATTGATGCAGTAGGATCATCACCGTCGGGGGACAAACATCAAGCATCGAGCCGATGCCAGGCCAGACGATCTCCAGTAACCATGTTATTCCGCTCACATAAAAACTTCGTGATTCAGAGGTGTCCGCGTAGCAATTCTTAGTTACTTTATTTTTTCACGACTCAAGCTAAAATCTGAAATTTGCATATTTATCTTTCAAGTGAGTCCTCGAATCTGAGCGAGTGAAGCACACGACGCGGCCTCAGGTGTTTGCGAGTGCTCAACTAAAGCCTTCTGGAGAAAGAATCTCAACTCAGGAAAAATAAACTAAAACGATACGGTTCTATGTGAAGTTACCCGGAGGAGTCACTATTCAACAAGAAACCCCGTACTCTAATCATAAGCATCGTATCGTGAAGTTGAGATCCGCTAAACAATTTAGCGCACTTTTGACCACCAGAAAGCACGGTCCGAATCTCTCCTACTTGTTGTATGCAACTATTTCCTGAAAGAACCAAGCGTTGCGAAATAGTAAGTCCAATACAGCGAAAAGCCTTTGGGTAACTTGGGCAAAAATCGCTCAAAACGCGGCATTGTTTAAGTAGTGGACGATTGAGCTGCTTAGTAACCCGTCACAGAAAATCTTTTACCGTTTGTCTGCCTTACACTACCATCAGATTGAAAAAAATGAAGCAACGCTATGCTTCGAAAAGGTACCAACTCGCGCTCATTCCGAATTTTCGCTCGTTAATCTAATTTGCCATTCATACTCATTAGTTAATAACTTCAGCACTGTTAAGTAAAGCTCACCAACACTCCCAATCTGCTTCCAAATTTAAAATTCGTCCCTATTTGAAAAAAAAGTTCATAATCCTTAAATATTGTTCCAATTCAACAGAGATCAAGTTGCTCCACGGCCAAGCACAACGATCATCAAGCACCCAGTCGGCTAAACGCGGTAGAAGGCTTGTTCTCCAACCAGAGGGCGTGAAATTGAGAACGAACACGTTACTACCAAAATTTGTGTCTGCGAAGAAATAAATGAAGTAAGCCAATTTTGTGCACAGATGTCATTTTTAGTGACTAGTTTCTTTTTGCTCCGTTTCTCTTCGCTGAGTCCGTTTGTAGGTCTCACCAATAACACGTTTTGACTTTTCAACTTCTGTGCTCTGAACGAATTTGTAGTGAACGTGGGGTATCAGAACTTTTTTAAAAGAGCCTTGGGAGAATGAACCAACTTTCATGGTTCGGCTTGTGGAGAGGCTCGTTTCATGGACTTCGCCACTGGGAAGGGGAAGTTCAGACTTCCCTCGAGCTTCGCTACCCGGTAAGTAGACCATCCATGTGCAAAAAAAGAGCTCTAAAGAATTAATAGTTTCTTAAGATATTCAATCGAACCCGTCGAAGTCCCTGCGGCGGGCAGAAATGGAAACCTTCCGCTTCTCCTCCCGCAAACGGCCTCGGCGCAAACACCGTAACCGTACTGTCCTCCAAAGACTCTCCCTCTGTGCTGAACCACGATCGAAAGCCCCCGCCCGTTCTGCCAGCGTTTCCAGAGCTTTCCTCAAATTCGGAAGATAACAATAGCAAATTTTTGAAGTTGGACGAAAGGCTTCTCTGAAAATGAAAAGGCAATTCGTATTATGAAGAAACGCACTTCATTGTGGATCTCGCAATGTGCTCGCGTCTTGTGATAGGTACGTGATGAGTGGTGACCTTGCTCCTTCGTGAGCTTGTGGAAATCCTGAAAAGCGACCAGGTAACAAATTTCACAACACGAAACTGGGCCACGAAAGATCGGTACTACTTCAATGCACAACTGGTACGACAGACTAACGCGTTGTGCACAAACGACTTCTTACATGTATTAGGTAGTGAATTCCATACGAATGACGGGTCGGTGTGCCCGCGCCCACCCCCGACCGAGAACCGTCGAAATTCGCGCCCAAATTGCGATTATATCGCCAGCTTCACACCCCTGAACAGGAATCTTATCATTAGAGACTGTAACAACAACATCGCTAAGTTTCAGCTTTTTTTCCTCCTCGGAGACCGAACCGTCGCGACAGTTCCAACGGCCCCTCACAACGGTCCTTGCTTTATGAATGTCCGACACCATGCTATCTCACAGGTGAAGCCTCCGCCTTTCAGTATCCATTTCATTTAGGCGGTAATGAGATGAAAGCGCAGGAGCTACAACGCAGGGGCGCTTTGGCGTCATCAGATGGTTCAATTAGGATCATATCCATAGGCTGATTCCCCGTAAGGAAGCTTCCCTGCAGCTACGGGCCAAGGAGCGCCATCCCGCCGTTAGGCGCCAAACACATGCTGTGCTCACATGGACCATCCAATGTCAATACAATCAAGCGAAAGCGGTCGCATCCAGGTGAACAATGGGTCTCACTTCGCTCGACGCCAAGGCTATATAAATGAACATCCTTGGAATTTTTCTTCATGCACTTATGACCTCAAGAAGCATGAAATTCACCTGATAAGCTCCTGCCGCAGAGGAAAGGAGAACCACCAGTTAAGCCGTGTGCTCGACACTGCCCTCCTTCCTCTTTCCCACCGTGTGCTGTCATCCTAAATGTGGGGTCACCTACGGCGCTGAGCCGTCCATCCCTCGTGAGATATTAATGAGGAGCGGCCTTGTCTGTTATTTGCTTTTCCGGTAATTATTCGGCGTTTGAGAGAACATTATGCGATCACAAAATGCGGTCATTTGGCTCGAAAATGAAGGTAAGGAAGTGAAGTAGACCGCCAGAAAAGAAATAGAGTAACAAATCTGCCAATTTTTGTGAGGCGGACTACAGCTCAAGTCAGAAGCTCTAGCGTCCTTATAGCGCACCTCACGGGGAGTCACATGGTCCAAGTACCCTATAAACTTCATTTGAGGTGAGGAAGGAAGATTTTATAGTTGCTCAACCACTGTGCAAACTTTGGCGCTTACAGTTGTTACAACGTCATTATTTGGAAGTGGATGTGTGGAGGAATGCTTGAAAGCTGGAGCTGGACTTCATCGAGAGCAAATCTTCAGAGCAGCAAGCAGAACAAACCTCTAACCGGCACATTTCTGACCGGTTGATTTTATTGAGCGAGTTTAGAGATCTGTAGGATTTCAGCGCGCAACTCTGACCGGAGCCGTACAGCGACGTTGGTCGCTTTGGCGACATCCTGAAAAGCCGAAAATTGACGAATGAACTGGAGCATGTTCAAAAAATCGGCAAATGTTGCGGGAATCAGAGGAACGGACTGACGATAGCCGGGTCCTTTGCCTGGCTAACGGTCAGTAGAGAAAAAAGATTTATGATGGCAAGGTGAAGCAAGCACTTGCCGAAGCGATCACTTCACGAAGCAACACAGAAATCCGAGGAGCATCAGCTCCACTGAGCTGTTTTCCGGCACTGTTTCCATTTATTTACTCTTTCTCTTTCCATAATTATTTGCTATTTACCACAACCTCCCCGCGGCACCACTGCTACGTTACCTTAACCTTGATTCTATGTGTGATTTGCCGGGAAACACTCGATTGTAAGGAGGAAGTCAGTGTGGCGTCCCAGAGGGAAAGAACACTTAAATGGAGTCGTCTGTGAGCAAGTTTGAGGATCCCGGAAATATGCAACTATGAAGGCGCCGCCTTCATAGCAACAGTACAACCATCGTGGATCGAAAGGCTACCTATGAAATTGGCGGCTGTGCTCGTTGAAGCTCACCTGCTCGTTCGATTCTTTCGACGAAATAAGGTTTCCTGTGTAGAAAACCCACAACGCTAGCAAATGCCCAGGCCAGACTATAACTTATCGATGTGAGGTACATACATAAGTACAGTATTCCACTCAAAAGGGAAAAATTAACACAAAAGATAAGGTGAGATAGCTGCAGTATCCTGTTTTTCAACTAAATAGGTACATGGGATACAGTATAAATCCTTTCCAGCAATAACGGAAGGTTTAGGTGATACCAACTATAGTGATTAGCTGTACAGACAGAACATGTTTGAGAATCAGGCTCTATACTAGGAGCTCGATCCATGACCGAGCAAACCCTAGGCACCTGCCTTAGTGGATAGGAGGGCCGGCCTTGATGAATCCTCTGGAGGCGCTTGAACGCGTTATGAGGGTAGGGTAAGTATGTAGCTTGGTTTCCACGAACAACACGGAAAGCAGCCAGTCGACCTATACCCTACATTGTTTGTTCTATCCACGGACTATAAACTGGGCGCCACTCAGTAGGCTAGCTGTAGCATTAATAGGGGCAATGCAAAACGATGGATAATATAATAATAATCAACAGTGCCATGTGGGCGCGTTCGTAATAGTCACGCGAGCTGTTGCCCTTGACGGCGATGAGGAAGGCGCAGCGACGGCAGAAATGTCCGAGCGAGAAGTTTCTGCAGAAACAAAGGAGTGCGAGATGCGATGGACTGTGGGTTGGGAGCACCCAATAGTTTAAAAGAGGATGTGTTAGAATGACAAAGAAAATAGAACAATAAAGAGGAAGTGAGCAGTTTCTCAGATGGAAGCAATACATGAGAACTCAAGAGGAGTCGAAGTGACGGTTCTGGAGTTCTGGAGAAAATTTGCATTCGTGAGTACGCTCGAGATGGCTAGTAACATAGAGTCATGGCCGTACATGGTAGTATTTTTGTGTTGTTTATACCACAGATAATTGTGTTGAGTTGCAAAGAGAAGAAACATACAACAACAATCGCAGCAGAAATTTATTGGTACGATACCCCCCATTCTGACCAGCCTTTCGAACTCCAGGGAGGTCTAACGAAGAAATGGTGCCTGGCGTTGCGTTTAGTCCTGCGAGCCACTACCTGCATTGAACTACCCCTCGTTCATTGAACTACCGCTCGAGTAGTGGCGACCGATCACGATATAACACAGATGTTTTGACAAATTTGGAAGAAGGGATTGGGATACGATATTTTGAACAGCCGTAATGCAAAGAACTCTTTTACTCTCAGCGCTCTTGTTAAATGAAAAACATTCAAGGCAGTGGCTGCCCAGTCCACAACAAGGTCGTCGTTGATTATGAGGTACCACCGAATGAACTCGAACTTTCGTCATTCAAGCACCATAAAGCCAACAGAAAACGGGCAGAAATAAGAAGAAGAGTGAAATGGAAGGCGATGTGTATGAAGTGAGTCAATCATTGGTAGTCAGATAATTCCCACCCATCACCATCACCCACCTTCCTCGCTTATGATTCTCTAGAAAACGGTCGATCAAGAAGGTGGAAGATAGATAAGAGGGGCAACAGTTCGAACGGGAATAACTCTCAAAGATCAAAAAACCTGAAAAAAAGTTGTCCGTCCGAAAAACTCTTCCAATATGCCCCCTCCCAATGGAGAAAATGAGATCCTCACGTCGACGTCGGCAAACGCTCAGTTCAAGTCGTCGATGTTGCGGTGCAGGAAAAGAGAAGTTGGAAGCAAGAAAATCGAATCACTGCAAATCATTCTATGTGATATTCTATCATCAAAATGAAGGAAATCGTGGTGAGAGCCGGGATGTTCGCATCCTGACGAACCGCAGAGGATGGGCAGATCTTTCTCGATGCGGTCCTCCTGCGGAAAAGCATCGGCCGGGGGAGAGTATCGCACAAAAACGGACGTCGTCCAAAGTGAGAAGTGGCTGAGGACGTCACAGATCGATCGATGAGCACCTCTTCGGAGGGGCGGCAGTTCTTCGGAACAATGGTGGGGTCAGATGAGCACCACGGCATTTGCACAAGGATAATATGCAGTTGTGGAACGGCGTTGCTGTCAGGGAAAGACAATTGTCCAAAAGGAGTGCTTCTTAAGAGCTTACCGCGAATGTAGCTGGGAGAATTCTTAGATTTAGTTCTTTTTACAAGTTAGAAAGTAGACCGAAAAAGGTCAATCATCCCACTAGGAAGAAGTAATGAATTGTCCCTAATCCAGCATGAACGTATTTTTCGACAACAGACATCACGTTGAATAAGGCCACATGCCTTTTTGGAAGCTAGATAATATTGTTGTAAGATGTAAGGGCAACGTATACTTACGAGATGTAATTGGCAATGAATGTTACGGTAATGGCATGTGTGACCGATGCCGTTCAGCGTGGGAAACTCAACACGCTTCGAGTCTCTTGGCCCGTTTTCCGCGGACTAATGGACTTGGGAAAGGGCCAAGCTTTTTCCATTACATGATCGGATGATCAAAGAAAGAATTTTCATTCTATCAAAAGCAAGCTGGAGCTAAGAGTTTGATTGGAGTGGTCAACCTCCAACGGGATCGTTCGGTAGCTCCTCTAAGGGCAGCAAGATCGTATACTAAGAAGTACCAACAGCAATCCTCGCTGCTGTTTAGTCCACCCGCATAACCCATCGCTGCTCTCTGGTCATGCAGCAACCCAAGTAAATATTGACATACTGACCAATCGCTACGGCACTATGCAGTGTTCATACCTTGCAGGTCCTGCAAAATATTTGGGAACCAGAAGAGGGTTTAAGGGGCGAAAACTGAGTGTGAACAAAGCAGCCTTGCTATGGCGTTGAATTGAGAACATGAATGTTGATTCTTCCTGTTGGGCCTTGTCATCCATCTCATCTCTCACCACCCCCCCCCGCCGCCCTTTCTAAGCCCAATGCAGGCTCTTTTCTCGGACAAAAACTGTGTCTTCTAAAAGGTGAAACCTTCACTTCGTAGCGATAGGCTGAGTGAACTGCAAGAGGATCCTGGTATTATTCTCCTTGAGTCGGGATTAAACAACGCTTCTTTATGTTGAGCCCCTGTGTCTTGTTTATGATTTATGGGCTTCACTCAACCCTGAAATAAATTAGTTATTTATTCTTCTCAAGTCCAGAAAGAGGTCCCCTATGTGAACTATTTATCATTCAAAAGTCCAGAATCAAAGGTCATTGCCGCGATGATAAAGATAAAGATAAAGAGACGTTCATTCGATGAGAAACTTATTTATTCATTCACTGCACTGTGTAAAACTGCACTGGAATGCCACCTAGTATAAGTCCTTTGAGTCAACGAATGCAAATCAACAGATTTTTAGCCAACGAAAACACTAGTTTCTGTGCGTATTGCTTTTCCTTATGTTTTTTGCCAGCTTTTGGCCATCCAAGGGATGCCACAGAGCTCTGAATGATAGTATAGTTGACGCGAAAAATATGCCTGTAACTGTGGAGAAGTTGCGCCTTGTAGGTCCCAAATTCGAGGTCTGATAGCTTGGGTACACCTCTCCCAGCCAAGGAACAAGGATATAGTAGAAGGGCCGTAACTATCAAGCCTGCATAGCACCCATGGATCAGAAGATTGATTTGGAACTCATGAGCAAAACGATGATGTTTTGAAGCGTAGCTGGTATAAAACACCTGATAAGAATTGCCAGAAACGATGAGAGGATCAGATCTTGGCAATGACGAGAGCTATTTGGACATGGGGTGAGAGTGCCAATGGGAACGACGGAGGCATGGCAGCGTCGCTTTCGTTAGACCGCTCTTAACAGCCCAGCCATTGTTTATTACTCGGCAATAAACATACGTTTTGCTGTGATTGATTGGTTCAAATCGTCCAATATGGGGCCCTACACCTGCGGAGGTCTTTTTAAATCTGAGCGATTCATTTTGCAATATTAGAGAACTTTGCACCGCCTGATACCTAACCTTGCTCTCCAATCTTCAACGGAAACATCGCTGAACAGTAAAAGAATAGAGGTCGGATTGTGGGGCAGGAGAGTGAGGAGGGAGAGGCCCTTACACTTAGGGATATCCCGAGGCTCGTGGATTGTGGTCCCCATCGCATCTTCAGCAAATCGATTCCACTGGCTGAATCCACCCAGTCAATGTTCCTAAAAAATCGTTCCTCAAAAGTGGGAGCAATTAGTGGAATGTGAATACTTCGCATAGTAAAGCCCAGAGAAAAGAAAGCGATCGGACTTGCCTGAGCGGCACATGTCAGCAGGAGGGGAATTTATGTTTTGTCCAGTCACGGCGTTGAAAAGCGCCTGTTGTGTTATGCGATAGGCTGCTTGATGGCAACTGACCAGCCGAAGATCCAGCTGGAGCTGGATCTTTCTTGTGGTCCCCATCACATCTTCAGCAAATCGATTCCACTGGCTGAATCCACCCAGTCCAGCTGGAGCTGGACCTTTTGGCCCTGCTGCGAATCGTAGTCCACCATAACAAAGGCAGAGGACTTGTGCAATGAAGTCGCGGAATAGTGGAAACATACTAATTACGCGGGCGTGATGGTGCAGCGGCAAGTGACGCCGCTTACCAGGTCCGGGGTCCGGGAATCAAATCCTTGATCGCACGTCGTCTGAGCCAATCAAGCCTACGATAACTCTGGGTTCGGTGAATTGGTACCCCAGGAAAACGACTCTAACCATTTAGAAGCCGGTGCCTAAAAACTTCTTACGCTTCGGGTGCTCTGTAAGGAGGGAACTTCGCATTAGTCCTGCTTCCCACGAAACCTGACAAGTGAGCGACTGCTGAACACAGTAGAACCCAGTAGTTAGGATGACTAACGCCAGTCATCTTCAACTTACATATAGCAAGCACTTGAAGGACGAATTCACGCTAGAAAGGCAACCCAATTCAAATTAACTTAGCGGTGGTGAGTGGTACACTAATGAAGGAAAACCATGAGAAACGGCACCTGAGAAATGAGACCCCCTCCCTTGCCCGTTGATTTGAGCATTGATGCGACTATCATCGCTGTGCCCTCCTCAACACTATGCTCTCTCACCTATCCAATCACTCGCCATGTATAGACCTGCGGCGAGTGATCAGATGATCGTTGGGCGTGCACAGGCCCACCGCGCAAAAATTGAGCCTTGATAAGTCGTCGAGGTCAACTCCTTTGGTGCCAACTGCGCTTCAGTCCGCACCCTTAGAAGGCCCGCGTCGTTCAACTTACATAGGTAGCACTACCCCTCGACCTTCATTTAAACCGGAATTCGCCTATTCTTCCAATATGGAAATGAAAACCCATGTTCGAACTAATTGTTTTCTGAAGCAATATAAAAGCGAGACAATACGCTAAATGTGTGCGCAGCGTAGAAGACATGGCATCAGTGAACAGCATCTGGCTTGCCATTTCCATTTCTGCGCCGCAACCGCCTCCAAGCTTCAGCCCCCAACTAGCAACTCCATTAATCATCTTTGATGCCGGTTATTCCGCTTGATCTTATCCTGACCACAACTTCCCATGAAACTTTACCCAGCGTTACCAAATCAAAGCACGCCTTGCTGCTATGCTGGTGATTGTCGATACAATACCATTGCAAAAGACCTCTCTCTCGTGCTAGCGTTCAGTCCAATATCGGAGATCAACGGGCAAAATAAGGAGTCATTTTCCCATTCTGCCATTTCTGCGCCGTTCTCTTCATCGCATTTCTTTGCTTTTCGCCACTATAGCATTACTCTGCATCCCGCTTCCACCATGAACCCAGTTCAATCTTATCGTAATCGTATATCATTAAATCAATGCGAGTTTTACGTATTTAATAAAACTACAAAATAAAAAAATTCCCAACTAATATTGTCTAACAAATAAAGACATTTTTATAGCAACTCGACTGTCTGACAATTTAAGATTGCAGAACAAAAACCGGTGGATGTATGTGGATATTGTAAGAAACAGATTCCACAAGCAGAATATAAATACAACGAAGAAAGATGACCCTTGCACAAAATTGCTCAAATCAAACGATGAATGTACAAGAAGGAAGAGTTTCACTCTAACTCATGTCTGGCTCCTTTGGATCCTCACTGCCCTCTGAACTGTCAGCTTCAGATGGATTCTGGAATGGTTTTTTGACAAATACTAGAAAGAGAATTCTGAAGACATGCTGAGAAGTGAACTTACCGGAAGCTGTTGCGTAGAAGCAGCGGAGGGTGATGGGTTTTCTGATGTTGGAGCAACAGACACATTGTTAGCCGATGTCGGGACCGGAGGCGCGGGTGCTACGGTTGCTGGAGGGTGATGGGCAGTGGCAGGAGAGGACGCTCCTTGTGGCAGTGGAGGTACCACTCGTCCTCTTAGCACACGCATCATATTCTGGACGGATACCTTCTGACGGGTAGGGGTATTTGAAGTATCGCTGGCTGCAAAGATGGAGAATCGAATGCTAAAGAAAAGCAATATGGAGATGGTACGCACCTTCATCAGCATGACTCACTGTTTTTCGCTTGGCCCTGCCTTCAGAACTTATACAAATACATGCCTAAAAAGAAAAGTTTTGCGCAGGATCATTCTGTTCTGAGCATGAGAAGCCAGCTGACCTGTTGCATGACAGCCCGTAGGATGGCCGCTTCACAACGTTCGATCATGTCATCACACCCATCAATAATTCTGAAATACTGAGGTACTGCAAGGTACTGCACTGTCGTGAATTGACCTTCACATACTTCTTGTAGTTCTCCTCGCGTTCATTCGTACGAATCATGCGAATGGTTGCTCCAACGGCATCAATTCGAGCTGATAGCTGTCCACGTTCACAAAGCGTCACTAATTCACTCTCCAACTGGAAAAGAATGTTCGAAACGTCATAAGAGCAATAAGTTCAGTAGCTTACACCCCGCAGATCCGTCCTAAATACGTTAGCCATAGCATTAAGATCAGCAGATGCAAACGGCTCGAGGTACTGCAGCAGAGCTCGTTCTCGTATAACAGCATACAATGGCTCAACATGGGCGCTCAGGTAGGGATCCAGCAGGAACTGCACATGAACAGTGATGAGAATAGAACGCAGTAAAAAGAAGAGAACAAGGAGCATACCCTGTCCTTCATGTCCCTCATAATATCCAAAGCTCGACCGAATTGGCTTTTCACTATGCAGTGCAAAAGTTCAACTAATTTGGGTTCTGATTCCAAGAATTTACTGAAAATGCAATACCTTTCAACAAAAGGACACTAACTGCAAACAAAATAACAAAATTTATACGTACCGGCAGTTGGCATCACTAATGACTTTCTTTTTCAATTCTGTCCTATCGTAGCTGGCAATGACGCACAGTGTGCAATACATGGCCATGTCGGACGCGGAAAACAGCCACGGCAAATCCAGAGCATCCAGGTCCACCTAAGAGGAAGAACATCTAGCACGAGAAAGAAATCTGTAATCCTAGAGAGAAGAAAGTTCTCACTTTAAGTAGGCGATCAGCTGCTTGCTTATAACGACCAGATTGAAGTTTCGACAAACCGCATGCTGCATCCAGTCGAGCCTTAAACAATTCTGTTACAAAAGTCTAAACAAGCTTGAATTACGTGATTCTTAAGAGCACTGAATCCCAATGCGAAATAGAAGAGATACGTCAGTAGTAATCGGAGTCAAGCAGCTCGACGAAAAACAAATATGAGGATCAAAACAGCTGGTAGATTGTTACACGACGAACCTTTCCCGTATTTATCAATGAGCGAGCACACTTTGGGGCACCGGAAGGTCGAGCAGCAGTAGAGGATACGCCAAATATTACTGGTCGCGTGCGAGAGGCTGCCGTCGAATTGGCTTGCTTAAATAATTAGTGACATACATTGAGCGCAATATGATATCGAAGTGGCACGACAGCAAAGCCGTATTGTGGACGAAGAGAGTAAGAGATAGTTCACCGTTTCTGCTTCCTCAGCTTCTTTTATACTACGCTCAGCCTGAGCGGCAATTGTATCCACCCGCTGCCATTCACCAACCCATATCGACGCTTCCATCCAATTCGTCCACATCTTAAGAATAAAGGATTAAAGGATCAAGCTTTTGCCGTTGATCAAACCCGTTTTGGTATGCTGATGTACAAGTCAGTGTTGTTATCCTCCCAGACAATGTGCGCGTACGAATAACCGACCGAGGACGAAGGCTTTGCCCACACCAGCATCAACCCAGGATTCGATCCCGACCCGCACGTTGGGCCGCTAAAAAAGTTATAAAATATGATATCTCATTTCAAAAGTAGCCCCAACATCAACGGTTACCCACAAAAATATAAAGAAACATTCTCAATGAAGCCCATTTGTCGAACTGAAGGAAGAGTAAGCTACCATTTTTGAGAAACCATATTCACATATAAAACTGGTTTTGTTGAAAGTGAAAATGGGCAAAAAAGAAAAAGAGTAGAGAATGCCAAATTTCACTCAAGCACCTACATCAATGAAAATTCAATTACAAACCTGGATAATATGTTTGAACTGGCTGCAGTACTCTCGCATCCCACGACTGTAGAGGTGCAGAGCTTCGGTTATATCGCCTGCGGTAATATAGTAGTTGAAAAGTTCGTCCATTGCGCGACGTGTAGACTCCTGCAAAAATAATCATGTACGAAAGATAAAGTAACACATCGTAAATAGTTATAATATGAAAGCCATCTTCTTTTTTCGTGCATACCGAAGACAAAAACAATGGGAAACACGTCTCGAAAGGAGGTAAATTTCTTCTAAGTAAAGCAACATGTGTTTCGGAAGCGAAGCCGAACATTGTTTAAACTGACCTTGACACCTTCGTCTTTTTGCTTCTTATATTCAGCAAGCAGAAAGTCCAATTGAACCGATGACTTAACAGTGGTTTGGTCAATCCATGCTTGGTCTAACACTGGTGTTTCCAAATGATTCTAAAAAAAAGAAAATAAGCGAGAGACAAAAGCATGATGATTGAATCAACCTGATCATCTGGCTGTTTCTCCATCGTTTCAAGGCTTGTCATCAACTCCGAATAACGCGCCACGTTGAAAGAGCTCTAAAATTCCACCTGCGTCAAAATAAATTGCGTACAAAAGCGTGGCGCATACCCTGTGAAGCTCATTGATCATACCAATAGTTGCATCTCTTTTTAGAGGAGGACAATGATCTGCTATAAACTGCAACCTGAGAAAGAAAATTCAGAAATTACTGAAAAGTCCTCTGATTTCAATTACAGTTGATATAAATCACCTGATGAGCAGTGAGTGTCCCTTATATGATTGACAAATAGACTCGACATCCACAGCTGTCGGATTGTTAACAACCACAGAAGGACACGGTTTAGGTGCCGAAACTTGTGTAACATCTAAATAATTTGAAAAAAAAAAGAATTAATAAGAAAGCCAATCGTGGTAGCGTCCATACCCATGTCACCATTCTGATTAGCCGGTGCCGTATCTTCAGGAACCGGAGTGCCTTCTCTGTTTTGAAAGGTCTTCTCGATCTAAAAAACAGAATGAATACAACCATATCGTGCATGGAAAGTGCAGTATACCTGCAGTTCTTCCTCCAAATTTGCGTTGCCCACATCGATATCAAAGTCATCTAGAGGCTCATCGGCCACCTAAATGACTGCATAAATCCACAAATCATTACTTGCAAAGGTAAACACAACAAAATTTGGGCACTATTCAACTATTACAACCCCAAAATCTCAAAATTTTAATTTTCGTCGAAACTTCGCCCATAAGGGTTATTCTGCGCCCTGATTACGAAAATGACATTCATTTTTGACGTTGGCGCCATCTGGCGCCAGTTTGGCGCCAGGGCTATTTTGACCAAATTCGCTATAAACTTGAATGAAGGGGTTATTCGGGGTTCTGATTACGAATATAATATTCATTTGCCGCCTGCGCCATTTGGCCCCTATTTTCGGCACGTCTGCGCCCTCTCACTGATTAGCTTGCGACAAGGACTAAGCCTTTGGGGGGAAAGAGCGCTCTGAGATGAGTAAATCACTAATCCTATGATCAAAGCGCTTCAACATTTGCCACACGTTGCCTGGTTCACCCACCTAGGAACGCCTCTCCTCATAAGCTTAGTCCGAGGTAATATGTACAAGTGAGAGAGCCTAAGAAAACGGGAAATATGCGTTAAATAGTGCGAATGCCAAAAACGATTGTCATATCCGTAATCAGGACCCCGAATAACCCCTGTATACAACTTTACAGCGAATTTGGTGGAAATAGCCCTGGCGCCAATTGGCGCCAGATGGCGCCAACGTCAAAAATGAATATCATTTTCGTGACCAGGGCATCAAATAACCCCTGTGGCGAAGTTTCGACGGAAATTAAAATTTTGAGATTCTGGGTTGTAATAGTTGAATAGTGCCAAATTTGGAATGCTACACAGACATATAAAGAGGAGCCGACATACAAATGGCTTGCTTTCCCTATAGCGCTTACTATGCTTCTCCTACTCTAATAAAATGATTATTTTCCAAACAGAACTGACATGGTTCTGATAATCGGCCTCCATCACGTCATCTGGATCTGGCACCGCATTCGACATCCTGAAATAGATTTTATGGGGAACACACGCACTTGACCCGAAGCACCTAAACTGACAATGTTTAACAGAGGGGCTGCTTCAACATGGACCGTACAACCACATCAATAGAAGTAGAATTTTCATAGCAGGGGAGGTGCCTAGGTCATGGAAACAACAATTCGGATGATGGGAAATCTATTCCGCAACTAATCCTGAAGACTTGCATCAAAACACCGCAATTTCCAAACATTAGAGCATATATTGCTAATTAAAACTTGCTCAAGGATGCTGCAGACGACGAGAGCAGTACTTCGTATGCAACTGCGGCAACTGTTAGTGGTTTTACGCCTAATGTTGCTGGGGACTATCGCTGTCTGCAGTCGTTGCAGCTGGCTCTTTCATGTTGTTGTATTCATTTTTACGAGTGGTTTCCTTCGCTGCAATATTGTGGTCCTAGATTGGACTCACCTATTTGTTCTAGGGTTACCAAATTTGTGATCTTTGATGATTTGTGTTTCAAAAACGGTGCCACTAGACTGTGCGGTTTCGCAGAAGTGATGTTCGGGAATGGATTAGGATCAAGAAGAGTGGAAATAAGGTTAGTTACTTCCAGTGTTATGCAAGCTACT